AGCCTGCTTGCTGAGCCCTGGGAGAAGTCGCCTTGTAGAAAAGAAGGGAGGTTTGGGGGATGTTGATGTGCCTCCTAAGGCAAACCTGGAAAAGCCAGAAGGAAGCCACAGCAATCAGCCTCGGGCAGATCGTCCTTGTTGTGGCAGCACTGAAGTTTTGAATCTTGAATGTACTGAAGTAGCATATTGAAACCTCAGAATCTTGGGTTCGGTGCATAAGAATGAGAGTGCAGAAGTGGTCGTTGCAGCCATGTAAAGAGAAAGAAGGCATGCCAAAGTGACATAAGGAACATACCTCTGTTAAGAATGCAAGCAAACAAATCTGAACTGTGATGCTTCTAAGCAGCACAAATTGAGGCTTTAATTTGTCTGCATCTACCTTGGGTTTTCATGAATGTAGGTGGAATGAGTCCCTACTCCACGCTCCCTCTTATCCTCCTCAAAAGCTGATCTTCTATATGGAACTCTCTTGATTCCGTGACACATGGTGGCTGGTTATTTTTTTTTCCTGCAGAATCGCAAGGTTTTGGTGGATTTGAAGGCTTTTGAGATAAAAGTTGCTTCTCCCCTTACTGAGGTGCTGCACTGAAGCATTCCTGGCGGGTTGTCATTGCCAGTGAGAGCTGTTGTTGAATCTTGGCATCTGTTGATAATCACCTGCATGTTCTGTTTTTTATCCTTGGAGATGACATTATTGAAAGGTGAAGTGCTTAAAAGCTTGGAAGTGTTAAAAGCGATCCAACCAAGAGTCACTGTCTTCACAATTCACTTTTTTTTATGGTGAGACCCAAACTCTATGCGTAACGCACCGACTGTTACCGTTATCGTCCTGAAGATTTGCTACTTTTTTTTTTTTTTTAAAAGGAATATACTTTTTTGATGAAAATAGAGCTGGACCGAAATGAATTCTGAGATGCTCTGTGAAATAAACTGTCAGTATTCCCCTGCCCGTCTGTGATCTTGTTGTGTGTTTTGGGCTCACAAAATGCCCTTCTTGCGTTTTGATCTTCGTGTTTCTGCACTTCGTGCTTTATGGGAGAACCTCAAGGTCTGACTTCAGGTTGGAAATTAGGAACAATTTCTATTTCTTCTCCAAAAGAACGGCAGTGTCCTGCACAGCTGCTGAGGGAGGTGGGAGAGTCACTGACCCTGGAGGTGTTCCGGAACCTCGGAGATGGGGCACTGAAGGATGGTCAGTGGGATGGGTAGGGTTGGGCTTGGGGACCTTGCAGGTCTTTTCCAACATTAATGATTCTATGACCATAAGAAGGTTTGGAGATCCTCCTTTCTGAGGTCAGTGCTGCACCCTCTCTCCCATCCCCATTTTATCCAACAGCACTTGACAAGCAGTCAGGTGGAGAGGGTGCGACTCTGCAGACCCAAGTCTGGAGTTACAACTGCCAAATAAATATTTGGTGCTTGTGGCCACGTGGGGACAATGATGCACCAGTATCACTGATCTGGCAGCAGTTTTAAGCCAAACAAATAGGAAGCAATTCATTTCTAATACACACTGTGCACGTCATTGCCCCAGGGTGCTGTGAAGGCTGAAAAACATAAGCATGTTTGAAGAGGAATAATTGGCTCTTATGTCCATTAGCACTTATTAAACACAACAGTCTGGATGTAAGATCCAGCTTGAGAAGTCCCTGAGCAGTTCTTTGCTGAAAGTGTGTATTAAAGGAAGGGCTTGCTTGGCATCTGCTCTGTTTCTTATTCTTCAGGCCAGGATCTGCTCCCAGCTGCAGACAGAGGGTGCTTTGGGTTAGGAGGGGATCTCGTCTGGGACAGCTTGGGATTCTTCTTTGTTAAGCAGCTGTTTTCTCCAGCTCATGAATGGCTGCATTAAGGGACAGATGAAAGGGATTAAAGAAAACACGGCTGTATCCCATTGGTTGGTGACGGATAGTCAGTACTGTGTCAAGGATTTGACTGGCTGAGGGAATACCATCTGAGTGTGAAAAATAAAACTGCCCTAAGGGGAAGAGGGAGAGCTGCTGATTTCCACAGTACCGAATAATCCATAACGGGAGGCTGTGATTGCTGTGCCCTTGGGAAAGACACTAAAAAGTTGAAGGGAGAGAAATAAGAGTCATGTAGCCTGTGTCTGCTATTCAAATAAAAGAGCTGAGAATTGGCTGCTGGCTGTAAGCCCAAAGGGTTTGGGACAGCCAACGTTGTGCTATTTAACTCTTTCTTCTCTAAAACTGCCCATAGAAGCTTAGTGGCACAGCTGTGATAGCTCTCATGGTACCTGGGAACCATGCCGGCGCAGTCACTTTATTGGCAGAGTTGCAGCCCTGTGGTTTCTGGGAGGTGATGCTGATGTGGCTGTATCATAGGTCTGCAGGAACCTGCCATACAAAGCATCTCTTACATCCCTGCCAAAGCCTTCATATGATGCAGTGGCTCAGAGCTTGCAAAAAGTGGCATGGAAAATCCAGCTGTGCTATGAGTGACAGCAGTGACATGGGGCTGAAGGCTTGCTCTTGGTGCGAGGCAACATCTGCTGGCTGGACCAAGCAGGGAGTGACCATGGTTGGGTTGGAAGGTCCTGGAAGGTTATAGAGGTATAGCATGGGTTGGGTTAGAAAGGTCCTGGAAGGTCACGGAAGCATGGAATGGTTGGGTTGGAAGGTCCTGGAAGGTTATAGAGAAACCATTTGTTTTTCCTCCTAAGCTTCTCATGTTTTTTCCCTCTCCTCTTCCTGGACTCTGTTTCTGCTCCAGTCTGTCCTCCTCGTCTTCTTCATTCTTCTGCTTTGGTCTCTTCTTCTGGATGCCAGTGACTGTCTTTCACTGCCACTAACTGGATGAGGGTAGGAAGAGTCTCCTGACTCTCTGTAGCCAGATGAAGCCCTGGGCATTGCTGCCAGGAGCATGCAGACTGCCGTCCTGGGTAGGATGCACATCCATCCATTGGGTGTGTAATGGCGAGACCAATGGGTACAACCCATACCTGAACCAAGGTTCAGGTTGGATATTTGAGACAATTTCTTCTCCAAAGAGCAGTCAGGCACTGGAATGGGCTGCCCAGGGAGTGCGGTGGGTCACCATCCCTGGAGGTGCTTCAGAACCAAGGGGATGTGGCACCGAGGGATGTGGGCAGTGGGCATGGTGGGCTGCAGTTGAGTTGGGGTTGGGGATCTGAATGGTCTTTTCCAACCTTCTTGATTCTTTGATGCTGTGCTTAGGTCCTAGTGATCACTCTCCCTATGACCTCCATTACCTGATTTATCCAAAGCTCTCTTTCCTTTCCTCTTTTCTACTTGATTTCTTTTTACCTTAACTGCACCCCTTCCTATTTCTTTCTCTGACACAATTACTCTGCTATTCCTTTCAGTCCTCATTCACAAAGAGTTTTTTTCCACAGATCCTGTTACAAACTTTTATTTCCCTTTTGCATCTTTTTAATGCATGTGGTTTTGTGCCTGATGGCTCCTGTAGACCACATGCCGTGGGTTGATTATCTTTCATGTGAAAAAAAATATTTTACAGTGGAATAGGGCTCCCAGCTCACTGCTTCTGGTGTCTCCATCTACCCTGGGAGGAGACTCAGGGCACTGGGAGCAAATGAGAGGATGAACTCTTGCCCCTGCACAGAGTGTTCTTCCTCCATGCTGCCTATCAGGCACCCCAATGTCCTTTTCCAGACCTCTGGGGTATTTAACGCCCTCAGTTTCATGCAATTTGACCATAAACATGGGCTGTACCCCAGCCTTCACGCAGTGACAGCCATGCTGGGACACGGTGACATCACAGGAACAGATCCAGGGCTAAGCACAGTACAGCTTGCCTGTGAAAATGTGCTAATAGATGGCCTGGCATGAACACAGGGTCAGCTGCAACCCAGAAAATCTTCCCTTCACAGCCATTTGGTGCATTTGTAACTACTTACCAACAGGCTGCACGCCTCGCTGGAAGCTGGGGTTTGCTTTCGGGTTGGTTGGCAAGGTGTCAATAGCTTTGAAATGTCGGTGAAGGGTTTCCTGTACTCAGGAGATCTGTTTGTCCCAAAGGGAAGGATTGGTGCTGTGCTGCTCATTGTCCTGATGACCCTCTCCACCCACCCATCCTGGATGGAGCCCAGCAGAGCCAACTCAACTGGGGATGGAAGGTCCTAAAACCAAATTCCCCAGCCCTCTGAGCCCACGGCAGAGGCTGGGAAACCACAGTCCTTTCCAGGTCGCTGCCAATTCATATGCAAATGTTGGTAATGAGCAGGATGCCAGCTTGTGCCCTGCATCTCACTGATGGGAGAGGAGCAGAAGGGATCCAGCTGGAAAACACAGTGGTGGTGCTCCAAGGAAAGACGACTTTACTGGGATAGCAACACGCAGGGTTGGTCGTTCTTTGCATTTCTGCTTAGAATGAAATAATACAAAGTGATGCTGGGCAAGGGAATGGGCTGCATTTCATCAAGGGTTTTGGCAATCTTGAGGCTGCTGGTTACTTCATGGATCCAACTCAGGGCTGCTTTGTTCCCTACTAGGAGCTTCAGCCAGCAATGGGATTGAGTTGGAAGGGAGGCTGCTGAGAGCCACATGGGGCAAACCTTCCTGTCTGTCCTTGTGGATCTAATTATCTAATTATCACGCATTAATGAGGGGCACCGTGTCTTCTGCCTGACCCAATCTATCTGTGTTACGGGTGCCTATTTTGCTCGCAGAGCTGTATTTTATTTATTGAATTTAGTGTGGTTTCCAGCGAGCTGGAGTCTCTATCAAATAAATTATTCCACTTGGACCCCAATTTGCTCTCCAGATGGCTCATCCCTCATAAGCTGTCCTGGTGTGCTCTGTTTTCCCCCCGATCCTCGGTGAGTTTTCCCTAGCTCCTCCCAGACTGGCTGTTATTGACAGCTGCATGGCTAATGCCCTGTAGCGGAGAAACAAAAGCAGATTTCTCCCCCACCTCTTCAGCAGAGAGCATAAAGGCGATGCTTTTGTGCTTCCCCAAGCATTGCCAGAGACAGGCTGAGCGTGTTTAGTGGAGGGGGCTCATCTCTGCACAGAACCCCGGCGTGGATGGGAGATCTCCACGAGGGAGGCTGTGTTCATTAGGTCCCACCTGGAGGACTCAACCTTCGGGCCAGGTAATGTTGAGATTCTTGTGCTAACAGCTGGGAGAGCTTTCTCCCTACAAATACAGAGTTTAGCAATATTGGGATGGAGGGAGTGATGCAGAAAGGAGTGTGTGTGAGTAAGGGCAATGGGAGAATCCCACTCTCTTCTCAGAGTTGGTATCATGGGTAGATGAGGAGGGGTGTGAGCTGGGGAAAGAACTTTGGGTTTATCCAGGGGAGGTCTCTCTTTGTAAGCTTACTGTCACCAGGGGCTTGGGCATTCGCATAGATCAAGGTGAGAAATGATGAAATGGGAACGTTTGTCTTCTTTGGCTGGAGCCGCGTGTGCCAGCAAAACCCAGAGTTCACCATACTGCCTTTGTTGTAACTTCTCTAAATCACTTTGAGCTGACAGCATTCCCCTTCTGCAGCCTGAGCACTTCTCAGTGCCATTTGGGATGTCTGGAGCCTCCACCTGTTCCCCCAGGGTTGCTTAGGGATTTATGTAGGGCTCTTTGCTCTGCCTCACTGCTCCTCAGGTCTCTGCAATACCCCCATGGCAGGAGTAGGGTTGCCCTCACAGACATCCCACCTGAATGCTTGGTGCTATGCTCTTAAAAAAGAACTGTTGGCATTGCTATGCCTCTTATTTAACACTCAGCTGATAGAGCAGTTCGGCAAGCAGGGGGAGACCTAAGTTCAGTTCCTCCAAGGACTTGTGTCAGTGCAGCAGCAACTGGTTGGGATGGGTTCTTGGGAAGAAATGGTGCACCATGGATGGTTTGAATTTGGCTGGGTGGGGAAATTAGCTTAACGGGAGCTTCGAGATGTTAGAAAGAAAGAAAACAGTGTGGAAGTTGTTAATAAAGCACAGCCTGGGTAAGGCAACTGTCTTACAAAGAATCATCTAAAAGCAGAAGAGTTTGGTGTGCTGGGATGGGGTTGCGTTGGGAATATCCTAGAGGCCACATCTGGGTTTTGTTTTTGAGAAAATGTTGGTTATGGAGGATGAGGTCCTCTGGATGAGGGTAAAATCTGTCTAAGATTTTGGCTGGAATCTGTACTGCCTGATGTCATCAAGAAAGATGCAGAAATCACAGTGCTGTTGGATGCTGTGGTCAGATATTTTAATTAACGGTCTGATCTGTCATCTCATTCACTGCTTCCCAGCCAGGATGCATCGAATGATGAAAGAAGAATCAAGCTACAGGACAAGCAGTCTGGAAAATGCAACGCGCGACACCAGCAAAGAGCAGCTGCATGTGAAGCTCTGCAATGGGTCCTGCCATGCTGAGCAAATCCTACAGACACTGAACGCCTACCGACGTGGTGGCATCTTCACAGATGTGGTGTTGTTAATTGATGGGCAAGAATTCCCCTGCCACCGTGCTACTTTGTCAGCCAACAGCACTTATTTCCGGGCGATGTTTGGTGGCAATCTCAAGGAAAGCCATCAGAATATCATCAACATCCAGAAGATTTCTGCTTCCACCATGTCTCTCCTTCTTGACTATATGTATGGGGGGAACATTGTCATTCAGGAAGACAATGTTGAAGGCATCTTGGAACTGTCTGACTTGCTGCAGATCTCCAAGCTTAGGGATGCTTGTATCAGCTTTCTTGAAGGCCAGCTTCACCCCTGCAATTGTTTAGGCATCATGAAGTTTGCCGATTCGTTCTCCATCACTTCCCTGACAGAAAAAAGCAAGAGGTTCATGCTGGAGTGTTTCGTGGAGGTGTCGTGCCATGAAGAGTTCCTAGAGATGGGTGTGAAGGAACTGGTTGAGTATTTGTCTGATGAGCAGCTGGTGGTTCCCAAGGAGGAGGTGGTCTTTGAAGCAGTCATGCGCTGGGTACGACACGACGTACCTGCCCGGAAAGGAGCCTTGAAGGATCTCCTTGAGCATGTGCGTCTGCCACTGCTCAACCCCACCTACTTCCTGGAGAAGGTGGAAATGGATGGGCTCATCCAGGACTCAAAGGAGTGCATCCCTCTGCTGCACGAAGCCCGCAAGTATTACATCCTTGGGAATGAGGTCAGCTCTTTGAGATCGAGGCCCAGAAGGTAAAACGCAATGTCATCTTCCCTAGACCTGCATGGTCCAAGTTCTTGTATCTTAAAGTTTGTATGGAGTTCTTTGATTCTTATCAGAGTAACGTGAAGGTTGGAAAAGTCCTCCAAGATAATCTAGCCCAACCATCAGCCCATCCTCATCATGCCCACTAAACCATTGCGACTCGTAGTAACAGTTCTACACAATTTTATTATTTATAATAACCATTTTAAACTAAAAGGGGGATTTATGTCAGATACAAGGAGGAAATTACTTCCCCAGACGTGGTGAGGCCCCAGCACTGTTGCCCAGAGCTGTGGTGCCCAATCCCTGGAGGTGTCCAAGGCCATCGATGGGAGCCCTGAGCAACTTCATCTGGTGGCAGACACCCAGCCCATGGAAGGGGTTGGGGTTGAGTGGGCTTTAAGGTCTTTTCCAATCCAACCATTCTATGATTACTTTTTTTTTTTTTGTCTTTTACTTCACTTTAGCCTTCTAGCTATCAGCATGCTGCCTAGCTCAAAGGCATAGCTGCTGGGACAGTAATTAATGTCCAGGAATAAAAGGGAGTTGCAGTCCAAGTAGCTACCTAGGCACCCCAAATTCTTTCTTTTGTACCTGCGATTCATTGATTGACATGAAGATAAAGAAGTTCCAACCCAGGCAGCTGGCAGTATGAAATGGAAAATACAAAGGAAAACCAATTTCTGGGGGTGGGTATGCATGGGAATATGCACCTTTCTGTGATTTTGACATATGGATTTTCTAGACTTAGACAGACATATGGTAAGCCTCTGTTACTCCTTCATGGTGACGCTGGTACATTCAGCACGTGTTTGGTAAGCACTCCAATGAACAACTCCATTGAGAGCACCTCTGCTCTAGGATGGGTTGCTGTATCAAGCCATGTGGTTTGTAAGGCTTCCTGTGCTTCTCTAGAGGAGAATGATGGCTGTGGGGACAAATTCTTGTGTTCTTCTGCACTTTCGACCATGGAATCCAGCTTACTTTTGCCTCTTAGTGGAGCAGCTTGGGTAGAAGAATGGGGATGTGGAATCGTTGAATAGTTAAGGTTGGGAAGACCACTGCAGTCATCTAGTCCAGCCGTCAGCCCATGCCTGTGACTGCTCTAAACCACGTTGCATGACATGAGCCTGTTTGGTTTTTTGTTTTTTTGGGGTTTTTTTTTAAACCTCCAGGGATGGTTTAAGCCCTTTCAGTCTGATGTGAGGCTTGGACTTGTTTTCTCTGTGCTGATTGAGACAACGGGCCGCTACACAAAGAACTGCTCAATACCAGTCCGTGGTGCCCTCTCCAAGCACAGAGATTAAATTCACTGGGAATAAATCCCACTCCCAGCATTCCCATTTTAACTCCCCTTCTTTCACAATTTAGGTCTAAAGTAAACTGTCTCAGGCTGCACAAATGGAGACAGAGCTGGGGATTGTACCAAGCCTTTCAAATCCCATTCTTCCCTCTTCCTTCCTCTCCTCTCTCCTCCTGCAGGGCTGCTCCTCTCTGGCCACCTACCTCTTGGCAAGACTTTCCTGCCCAGCCGTCTGTCTCATCTGCTCTCTTCTGTTAGGGCTGGAGAAAATGAGATTTCCTGGAAACACTTCTCTCTCCAGGCAGAGAGCATGTTGCAGGCTGGCTGCCAGGAGCAGCTTTCCGTGCTTGCAGCCCTGTGTTGAGTATTAGGCTTTATTGTGCAGGAAGGGACAGGGTGAGGGGCAGTAGGCAATCTCACAAAGGACTTTCAAAGGTCGCTCTCAATTTTCTTTCCCTACAAAGTTTGGACCCTTTCCCACTCAAGCTGAGAGATTTGAATGGGCAGATAAGAGGGAAGGTGCATGGGCAAAATGATTTGCCTAGGAAACTGGTAGTTGGTGACAGAAAGGAGCCTTCCCTACCCGCTGGGATGTGCTGCCAGTATCCTAAATGGGATGGGGACTTAGGGACTTACCCATGCCTTTTATGGTCTAGGTTCATGGAGCTGGCAGAAGTTATCATCATCATTGGGGGCTGTGATAAGAAAGGCCTTCTGAAGCTGCCCTTCACTGATCTCTATCACCCAAAGAGCAGGCAGTGGACGGCCCTCTCCAGTGTGCCTGGCTACACCAAGTCAGAGTTTGCTGCTTGCACGCTGAAGAATGATGTCTACATATCAGGTGAGGTGTCCTGGGACAGCTGTAGTCCCCACCTGGAGCTCAGTTCAGAGAACTGCTCCTGGGGTCGATTCACTGGGACTCATTGACATGCATCTCAGCTCCAGAACAAAGTCACTTCTTGGTGAAGTTTACCCTGGATTTTGTTGTCCCAAGAAACACTTTTAGCCTTCTGGGGAAGATGGCACTTTTGGAAAAACCTTCCTCCTTGCTTATCTGGGTTTCCATCCTCTTGCAGTGGAGTGAGTTGGTTTTGATGTGCACTTTCAGGGTTTCCTATCACATCACCATCTGCCCATCCTTGATTTAAAATACAAAGCCTATAGAAGAGCTCCTTAGAAGGGATGGAGTTGTGTAATAAGTGCCTTGAAATTCAGAGGGCATCATCCTTGGGAAGCTGAGTTTACGTGAGAGTAACCCAACAGCCACATTCTGGCCTAGGTTGTTCTGCTGCATGGAGGACCCATATAAAATAGCGGTGTGCCAGGGTGATGGGTCTGTCTTTGAGATTGTGCCAGCCCTCCGTTCCTCTGTTTTTAAGGGGGACACATCAGCAGCAATGATGTTTGGGTGCTGAGCTCCCAGCTGAATGTCTGGATCAAGGTTGCTTGTCTGCAGAAAGGCCGATGGAGGCACAAAATGGCAACACTTCAGGGCAAGGTAGGTTTTGAAACAAGCCTGTTTGGAACAGTCTTCCCTTTTTCCCAATTCCCAGTGCAATGAGACATTGTCAGAGCTTGTTTGTTATCTCAGTCATTTAGAGACCAGGACGTAATCATGGTACTATTAGCTCTAGCTAATGCTTTTTTTTGCTGCCTGAGTTTGCCACGTATGAACCTATAGCAATAAGATCTACCATGGGGTGCTGAGAGACTTCTGCAAGATGACTGTGTTGAGGCTTTGGGTGAAAACTGTGCAGCGTAGGGTGTTTCAAACCCTGACATATGATGGATTTAACAAGAAAGCATCACTGTGGCTGGACAAGTGTCAGCTCTAGTACTCTGTGATAGTGTATAGCCCAGCTGGTGAGTACAGGAGATTCTAACTGGCTTGCTTTGCTCTTTCTGTGGCAGATCTACGCTGTGGGAGGCTTTGATGGTTTCTACCGCCTCTCCAGTGTGGAGTGCTATGACACCTTCTCCAACAGCTGGTCCACCTTGGCTCCACTGCCACAAGCAGTGAGCTCGGCAGCCGTGGTCTCCTGCCTGAACAAGCTCTATGTGCTGGGTGGTGCTGTGGATGACACTGCCAACACTGACAAGGTATGGGTGGTGCAAGGGGGTGAGGATGGCTGGGAGGTGGAAACAGACTAAGAGATGCAAAATAAGCCCGTGGGAAGTTTCAGCTCATCTTTGGTCTGCTTTCAGGTACTGTGCTTTAATGGAAAGGATCACAGAAAGGCCAGCAAGGAACATGAAGAATAGGAGACTTAAAATATATATTATAATAATAATGGTTTTACCAAGGAAGGTGACATCTGAGCTGCACTGAGAGCAGATAGGGGCTCCCAGCTCAATACCAGAATATGTAACCATGTAGTGTGTTGGTTAGGACCAGCTGGTAATCTGTCTGTGAGAGCTGAAGGCATAGACCCTCAAAAGAACATGACCCCAGCCAGCTGATGAAGGAATGTCCCTTTGATCATTGCACTGGCCTCTGAGTGTTGAAGTTCCCATCCGTGTTTCTGGACCAATTTTCTTTTATTTCTAGTGGATATTATCTCCATCCAAGCAAGGAGATGAGATAAATTTATGTTCCCATAGCTGCGTTTCTCCTTCCAGGTCCAATGCTATGATCCAGAAGACAACAAGTGGACTCTCTTGTCTCCCACTCCTTTCTACCAGAGGTGCATCAGTGCCGTCTGTTTGGACAACATCATTTATGTTGTAGGTGGGCTCCTCAGTAAAATCTTCAGCTATGATCCAAGGAAAGACAGCTGGCGAGAAGTGGCTGCCCTCCCTGGGCCTCTGGTAAGAGAAAGACTTAGGAATCATAGAATTGTTAAGGAGGGAAAGGCCGATAAGGTCACAAGGTCATCCAGTTCCAACCACCAACCCATACCTATGACCACTCCAGGCCATGTCATCCAGTGTGACATCAGCCCTTCTCTTGAACACCTCCAGGGACTCCACCACCTCTCTGGACAGCCTGCTCCAGTGACTGTGAAGAAATTTTCCCTAATATTCATATAAGAACTTTTCCTAATATGAGGAGAGAAGCTCTGAGCCTTCTCTCTCCATGGAATAAAGGTACCCGTCTGCATTTTGCTGAGATTAAATGTGAAGGAAGTATACTGGGGAGCTGACATTTGGCTTGAGGTTCTTCAAGTGCCTGAAACCATAATACCAAAGTACCTCAAGAGCTGTACCCTACTCATCCTGCTTATTTCCCCCCATGCAGGACAGGTGAGGGCTGAGCCCATAGCAGTCATGCACTCCTGCTCAATCCCACCGCCCAAAGCTGTTGGGCCATCCTTCATCTTTCAGCCTTTCCTTCTGCTTTCCAGGAGAGCTGCGGCCTGACGGTGTGTGGAGGGAAGATTTACATCCTGGGCGGCCGAGATGAGAACGGGGAAGGCACAGACAAAGCATTCACTTTTGACCCTGTAACGGGGAGTGTGGAGCAGCAGCCCCCGCTGCAGCGCTGTACCAGCTACCATGGCTGTGTCACCATCCTGCAGCACATGAACAGATGACCGTGGGGCTTTGACAGCATCTTTCTCCTATCCAGATCCTCCCCTTGAGTCGGTGGCTACATTTGTGGACAGACAGCAGTCTCTCTGTGGGGAAGGGCAACATAAGGCACTGAAGATGTGCTCCCACCAGGCCCTGAGCAACCTGTGTTTTGGTTTGGTTTTTTTTTTTTTCCAGGTCTGATGATGCCAATGGTTTTGACGATGAGAGGTGAGAGGATGAAAGTGCTGGGCTGTAGGAAAGCTGCATTGCAGACCTTGCCACCTCCAGATTTAAGCAGGGTTGTGACCCCTGCAAGTTTGACTTCTTTTAAGTTTCCCTGAATTGTAGAATGCTTTGAGTTGAAAGGAACCCCTGAAGGCCATCTGGTCCCACCACCTGCAATGAACGGGGGCACCCACAGCTCCATCAGCACTCAGAGCCCTGTCCTCACTGCCCGTATTGTAAAATAACTTATTCCTTACATGGATGTAGATCATGATTTTCTGTACTGTTGGTACAAGGGCAATTATTTGCTTCTGTCTGACACCCAGGGCTGTTACAGACACAATTACATTTACAGGATCCAATTCTTCAGCTCTCAGATATCTATGCATTTAGCTCCATAGAGCCCTGTGTCAACCCGTGCTTGCCCAAACGGTCGTTGATGCCCATGAGCAGTTAGTTCTGCTACAGTGGACAGCTGAGTTTGAGATCTCAGCTGATATCCCAGGAAAATTTCTCTGCTAAATCCCTGAAAGCTTGGTTAAATAGGCCACACTCTGAGTCCATTCTGCATATACTGCAGGGTCTATCACCTGAAAGCACAGGGTGCTGTCTCTTCTATGTGTTTCAAGATTAGTCTCGCTGAGACTTTGTCATTGAGGAGAAAGTGAATCATGTAGCCAAGAGGTGGTTCTTCAGAGAGCAGTGTGAGGCAGGTTAGAATGTGTAGAAGTTTTTTGTTTTTTTTTAATTAAAAAACAAAAACCAACATCCTGAAGTGTAATACCCACAGAACTGCATCTGGCTCCTTTTGTCTTTGAAGGATGCTGACAACTAGGAAAATAAACTCAATATTCAACAGATTTGACAGAGTGCCTCTGGGAGCCTAATGTGCAGCTTGTCTCAGGGCACATCTTCAGTAGCACCACCTGTGCTGCTCCAGGGTTTTGACCTCAGGTCCAGAAGTGAACCTGTTTGATTTGGTAGAGTAGCCATAGCCTGTGGTATGTCTTAGTCCATGGCTGGAACTGATATTTTTTGATGGGTCTGTGTATCACAGAATGGCCTAGGTTGCAAAGGAGCTCAATGCTCATCCAGCTCCAACCCCCTGCTGTGTGCAGGTCGCCAACCAGCAGCCCAGGCTGCCCAGAGCCACATCCAGCCTGGCCTTGAATGCCTGCAGGGATGGATGGGGCATCCACAGCCTCCTTGGGCAACCTGTTCCAGTGCTTCACCACCCTCAGTGCAGGCGTTCATGTTGTTCAATTAGGTCCTGAAGTGTTACCAAACGTAGGGTGGGATCTCTTAAAAATGCTCATTACTTATACATTCACCTCTCTGCAGCTGCTCTCTGCACCTCTTCCCACTGATGACCTCTTCCTGAAGTAGATGAGAATCCTGTTGTTGGCCCAGATTCTCCTCTTTTCAGAATCTTCTAATGATCTTAAGCCTCCTCTTATTGCCTCCCTCCCCCATATGGATGGATTTTATTTGGTGCTCTTTAATATCTCTGTCTTCTGTGAGTGCTGAGACGTTCACCTCTTCTTCGTGATGTTATCAGGATGACCTGAAAAACATGGCAAGAAGTTCCCGCTGAAGACCCCAAATTGGCTGTTAGCTAGGAGTGCTGTTCTCTCCTTTTCATTAGGAAACCTGTGCTTTTCCATTGTTGGAGCAGTGTGTTTCCTTGCACAAAATGTACCAAATGCTGCTTATAATCTGAAAGGACTTGGTGGCCATTTTGTTTGTGAAGGCACACCATGCATTCTCAGCCTCAAATTTTCCTGAGGGCCTGTGCACAGTAAGCAATATAAAGGAGATGTAATGGTGGCAAAGGTTACTTGAAGTTTTTAAGAGACATGTGGATGTTTAAGAAGATGGTTTAGAGGTGGGCTTGCAGTGGTGGTTGGATGGTTGGGCCTTGGGGATCTTAAAGGTCTTTCCAACCTAAATGATTCTGTGATTCCTCCAAGGAGAGAAGACAAAATCCAAGCTGGCAAAGGGAAATTTAATTTGCAATCAAATTGCATCCACAGTTATGTTTATAATGCAAATTCTTCACTTCAGAAGAAACTGTCACTTTTCATTGGTATAATTAAATTAGCGTGGAAGAAAGTATAAAGTATCAACTCATGTTATGGCAGACTTCATGAACAGAGAGCCCTTTGTTCTCCTGTAGCCTAGTGTTCTGAGGACCACAGATCGCAGCCCATCTCCCCATATAAATTAAAAAAGCTCTCTTACTGTTCCCTGTGCCTCCAGCAATTCAGTCTTTTGGACATCTCTGATTTACCCCCATCTTGTGCCTGGTTGAAGAGGTTCTCAATTCTCCAAAGGGCTGGCTGTACTTGGGAAACCACTGAGGATGTTTCATGAAAAACAGAGCACCCCAACCTTGCAAAAGCATTGAGTGTCATGGCTTTTGTGTTCTGTAGCTATGTTTGGGGGGGAACCAATGTGGTGGCATAAACGTTTGGACTTTTCCTAGTCTTACAATGGGTTTTCTCTTGAAGCATCTGACATGAAAGCTGTGCTAAAGAGGATTCAGGATGTGGGGTGGTGGTTGGTTTGGTTTTGTTTGGTTGTGGATGCTATTTTTGTTTGGGTTTTTTCTTACGTGGAAATGTTCAGGAAATTGTGATTTCACACCAATAAAGTTCAGTGAGGAAAACCTTAACGCCGCTGTTCTTCTTGCACGTTCTTTCTACAGACTTCCCTGATCTCCCTCATTCTTCTAGGAGTCTCTTGCTGTACTTCACCCCTTAGTCCTGTAGAAATGAGCTCTCTCACAAGTGTAGACCTTCTGGTCAGTTTTCCCATGTGCTTTTGACATGTGTGGTGTGTTGCAGCAGTAACACGTGGTGAACGTTGTGATGTAGGTACTAAACCATTTGCCTTGTTCTTGGTTGTGACATTCATATTGCTGCTGAAATGTGTTTGTATTTTGTAAGGGCTCTGAACTGTGGGCATGCAGGGGAGGGAGAGGGAATAAATTTAACTTGTTTTTCTCAGAAATAAATGTTTTTCTTGACTCCAAGGTGATTTTGCTGCAGGAATTTCATTTGTGAATATTACTTGAAATATTACCTGAAATCTTTGTGTTTCACTTCACTCTTTTTGATTTTCCTGCTGCTTGTCTCAGCAGTTGTATTATTTTGGGTATGTTTATATCTTGGAGGGGAGCCAGAGGGAAGAAAAAGGTTTTGTGAACAAATTGCATGGATGATATAGGCAAGAAGATCTGCAGGAACTGATAGCATTTGTCCATAACACACATGGGCAGAAGAATAAGAAGAAAATGACAGAGGCTGGACTGTTTAGTAGCCTTGGATACCTCATTAAAAAAAGCCTTTTTCATAAAGGCAAATGAGTCGTGATGCAACTGGGCAAGGATACCACTGAGATCTAGAAAGAATCCTGTGGGTTAATGTTTGGAGAGGAATAGGGTGACAAGAGTTGACCTCCATTGTGATGCTGTTGAACAGAAACATGGTATTGGGGTGACATGGAGGGCTTTGATGCCTCACTGCTGTCATTGTGATAGAGAAGAGACTGTGGGAGCAGATCCAGAGTTTGCACTTCATGGAGCCTGTGAAAATCTGAGGGGCAGAAGAGCCACCAAAATTATGCACGAGTGAGATGAGGATCATAGCGTGCTCAGCATGTGATATTTAGGAGGAAGGAGGCATGGAGATAAGTCTTTTGGAGTCCTGATGTCCTCCGTGTAATATAAGCTTTATCCCCAAAATTGCTGGATCCTTCAGTTCTCCAGAGAGCAAAACTCATCTGTGGGAAGATCAAACCATATAAATCTGACCATGGGCTTATATAGCTGAGCTGAAGTACATAACCCTCAGCTGCCATCTGTTAGAAAGTCAGATGCCCTCAGAAACATGAACTGGAGCCGTCTCCAAAATCTCCATTGAAACTCTAAAGAGTGGGTTAAACTTAAATGCCTCTCTGTTGGAGAGGATGAGCAGCCCATTGGAACTGCCTTTCACTCTTGGTGGACTTGAGTCCTTGATGACTACTCCAAAGCAGATAAGGTTGATAAGATTTCCCCTGGGAGGGGAAGTCTCTCTTCCACAAACCAAGGAGAAACCAGCTTTGAGGCTGCCATTGACTTGCCAACTGCCCATGGCACCATCAGTGGCCAAAGAAACCATTTCATAGAATGGCTTGGGTTGGAACAGATCTCAAAGTCCTTCAAACTCTATTCTTCCTCTCTCTCCCCATGCTGCCCTTACACCTCTCTCAAGCCCAAACTTTCCTTCCCATTTTTGGCTTGTTATGCACAGACTTGACCTCCAGAGCAATCTTCCTTACCCCATGTCATTCCCTTGTCCTAGGATGTTCTACTGAATCCTGTTCCTCCTTGTCCTACCACATAAGGCCTGATGCATTTGATCTCCCTAACAAATCCAGATTACTTTTGCTTATGGTAATTGTTGTTCAGCTCTGTGTTTTCAAAACAAACACCCCTCCCAGCATGAAAACAGCAGGGTATCACGATGCCCCTGGAGATGTTGAAGCTGTCTTTGCATTTAGCTTTCTGGCTGGCAGGAGATGATAACATTGAGGGCAGGGGAACAATGCTCAGGGGTGCAAGCCCCATCTGAAAGGATGAGCTCGTGCTGATTAACTCAGATTAAGGGCCACAATAGCCAGCTGGGAACTGGTGGGCAGAGATAATAGCAGTATCAGTGGCTGTCTCTCTAGCTTTAAATTTCCCTGTATGACAGAGAGGAGGGGAGGAACTGTATCAGATTCATTGCAAGATTATTGATGTGACTAGACTTGTTTCCCATTAAATGTAAATAATGGTAAGAGCAGCAAGATCATTCAGA